TGTGTGTGTGTGTGTGTGTGTGTGTGTGTGTGTGTGTGTGTGTGCTTGATGTGGATCGGGAGGGATCCTGCAGGGGATGGTGGAGGGAAAATGTCTGTAAATCATCTTCTGTCGAAAACAAGACAGAGGCAGTTAAGTGGAGAATCCACCACAGGCGTTTTCTCTTTGAACTCCGCTGCTTGTTTTATTAAACCAGAGCAAAAAGATTTCTAACTCCAGGCACAGAAGAATAATTAATCTTATTCTTCCAGAGACTGATTGGGGATGATAGATTGTATAAAATAAAGATATATTCTTCTTTTCCACTTAGGCTTGTATTTTCATAGATATCTGTAGCAGGATCTATAAATAATGTTTTGTTGTAACACATAAAACGTTATAAAAAGTTGTAAAACTCTGGTGTCATAAAATCACCAATAGATGGAAGTAATTTAACTGAAAACTTCAAATGAGATTCATTACAAAATCTCAGTCAATACATAAAAATATTAAAATAAAACAAATCTTTTTCTGGAGGATTTTAGGCAGATTTGGGGACAACACACATTTTTTGGTATTGCAGAAAACTAAAATGAATCTTTTAACATTGGACCCAATACATTACAGGCAAAAACATTCAGCTGATACATTTTCTTATTAGTCGCCCCGCCTTTCCTTGAAGGAACACAAATAAACCCAAMGCCTTTCATAGCAGCCTCTTCTCTACAGTCTGTTGTTAACTTTTGCAACAACACACTGTTTACATGCTGACATTCCCCTTTGACATCACTTCCTGTTTCTTTACAAGCCAATATCTCAACAACCGTTCATCTCAGTGATGTGAAATTTGTTTTGCAGTATGTTATCAATGTTATCTTTCCAAAAAATGCATTCATGTTTGTTACAAAAATTTGATGTCACCGGCACTTTAACCCTTGATGTGTTTTCCACTGTCCTCGCAGGCAGTGGGCGTGTGAACCTGGTGCCCCTCCCCTCTGTGGTGACCAGCCCGCGGGACATGGCGCTCGCYGCCGTCATCTGCAGCGCTCTGGCGACGGTCCTGCTGGCGCTGCTGGTTCTGTGTGTCATCTACTGCAAGAGGCAGCTGCTGGAGAAGAAGCCCGGCGGTCAGTCAGGATGCTCAGAAACTGTTTTTCATGTGGTCGAAAGTTTCTTTCAAACCACTTTTTCGTGAGTTTGATGTTGTCTTTGTTGTGCAGTGATTTCAGTGCTGCCTGACCAAGGCTTCTATGGGAACATTGTTTTTATGCAGTTCTGCAGGCTTCGAAATTGAACCTCCACAGCAGGTGTTGGCATTTCAATGCACGGTCAATAAAACACCAGTAGCATTTGTGGTTCAGTTAGAAGAGCTAAAGGAAAGCTTATGTGCTACGAAACAGCTGGAAAACATCACATAGTCACTAGATAGATACTGTATCTCATGCCGACCACTGTGCGCGTCTGTTGGTATTAAGTTTTTTGTTATTTTAAACAAATATCTTGTGAACCAGTTTGTTAGCAAACTGTCTCTTGAACTAGTGGAAAGATTTTGATTGGTTGTGCATCTGCGTCTGATTTCAACAATTTTTTTGTTTCCAATCCAATACAAGCTGGCCGCCACAGCCAGCTGACCTTGGAAAACACTAAAATGTTGAGTTAAAACTTGATGCGATTGCAGCTGAGAGTCATTCACAACATGCACTCTGAGGGCTAACAGACTGAGAGACGGGACTGCACGCAATCATTTTTTAAGGTTTTGCTAAAATGGCTGAACCGTCGTAATTTTTCGTCTCAGGATGATTTGAATTTAAAACTCTGGCAGCATGAAGGCAGCAGGCGATTTGCATCCATTCTAGAAATTGTAGCTTTTTTATTTTCCAGTTGTATTTCACGGTTTCTGTTTGTTTCTTTTTTATTACTGGTTACAATTGCTCCAATAAAGAGTAGGGTTGTGTATTGGCAAGAATTTGGCKATACGATACATATCATAACAGAGGGGTCACGATACGATATATCCCGATATATTGCGATACTATAAGCATTAGCGATTTTTTTTGTCCAAAAATTCTATTAAATAAAAACCTCTTACTGAAAAAAGCTAATGTTTACTTACAATGCTTACATTGTCTCCTACAATGCTAATGCTACCCTTACTCTCTGGCGCTCAAGAGGTAGAGGAGCCAAATGGCTGGCTCACTGCTGCCAACTAGTGGCCAGAGGCTGAACTACAACATAAAAATGAACGGTTGGCAAGAAGGTTGACATTTTAAACCTTAATTAAAAATCGATACAGGGCTTTAGAATATCGATACAGTATCGGGAAATGAAATATCGCGATATTTCAGTGTATCGATATTTTCTTACACCCCTAATAAAGAGTGTTTTCATTTTTATCTGCGTTCATCACAGAGATCACTGAGGCTTAAAAAAGTCTGAGGAAAGTGGAGCTCTGCTGTTCGAGCTCCACTTTCCTCCACAAACAGGGCGCAGCATTAATGTTTTCTGCAGCCTGATGTTGCATATTTGTGGGAACTTGCATGAAGAGCAGCGTTCAGGAGGCCAGAGGTGATTAAGTATGAGAAACGTCCCCGGGCGACTAATTAATGATGTCAGGTTTCCCCGACAACCTCATCAGAAACAAAAGTGGGTGGTAGGATTCATCAAGGTGTTACCAGTTAACTGTTGTGTTTTTGTTTTGGTTGTGTTTTTTTCTTGTTTCTCACATGCTGAAGGGTTGAAAGTGAACGCTTGAGTTAATCATTTGATCAGTGGTTTGTTTTGATTGAGGCGCTCGCCCCACCTCCTGCTGCACCGGCCACAAAGATGCGAACAGTTCTGCTAGCATCTGTTCGTCAGCCTCATGAACGGGAGGCTTGAGACTTTTTTTAATATAAAAACACAAAGATCAATTTGATTACCTCTCAGCTACAGCTCTGTGAATTACTTATAAATAAGTGGAAAACAGGTGGATTAGCTWAAAAAATGAATTGACCTGACGTGTTGAGTTCAATGGAAGGTTTGTTATTAACAGTTAATATCTTACCTGTTGTAGATAGCTTTCCAAACTGCCTCTGATTGAAAAAAAAGTTGAACTGTTCATAACTTTTCCAGTTTTAAAAATGTGGACTAGTCCTTTAATGCAGCTACATTAAATTGCCTGTTTATGTTGTTTTTTCCAGCACTACAATGTAGTTTTTTTGTTTGTTCGTTTGTTTTAGCAGTTTCTCTGAGGTCCCAGGACTGTCCTTACATCGGGGCGGAGCTTTCCTGCCTGGAAGCCCGCTGGCTCCACGACTTTCCCCAGAGACCCTGCTGCCAGTGTCAGCTGGGCCCCGAATACAGCTGTGGTGAGTCAGACTAAAAAGATTTCAGATGGCAGTGAAAGAACCTGATGCGTTTTGAAGCTGGGTAGACTCAGGTGGAAATATGGGGATTTTTCTGATGTTTTAACTTTTCGTTTTGTTTGCCGTGTGACGTTCAGGTCCGGTTCACCTGATTCCATCTCTGTGCTGCGATGAKAGCTGCAGTCTGGGTCGCAGTCAGGACATCAGCCCCTTCCAGTCGCAGACGAGTCTCAGTGACGGGTGAGGCGGGGAGGGCCCACTAAATCCTCACAAACACAAATAAAAACGTTGCACTGTTACTGTACTGTTACAAAACAAGACAGAACTGTCAATCTGAGTCTCTGTTGTTCTGCATATTGATCAGAGACAAATTCCTGGCTTCAATGAGCCTACTGTAAAACTGACAGCCTGTCAAACGCTAAACTGCCTCACAGCCTCCAGGGCAGCGTTCATCTGCTGTAGATGATTTAATCTTCGACGTTTATCTGTTTGAAGCTCCAGCAGCAGAGAAGTGGGCGTTACCAACATCATAGATTCATAGAAATGAAAAGTATTCATACCCTTTCAGATGAAAATTGAAACAAAAATATTTAGTGGTGTCTCAGTACTGTACAGATACCAACACTTTACAAACACACAAAGTACTCCAATACTTGGAACTAAGACTGATTTCAGTACTCCATTAAATGTGTTACAGTTTGCATTTCAAGTGAAGTTTGTCACTATGTGTAAGAATTGTTTTTCAATTCAATTCAAAAATGTATTCATTTCATTAAAAAATAACTATACAATAAAAAACAAAGAAAATACACAAAACAAAAATCAAAATAAAATGAAAGGTAGCAGAAGAATAAATCTTATAATGTCTGCCCCTTCTATCCCCAGAATATATTCAAAGAAAAGATAATTTACAAAACAATAGTAAGTAAAAATAAAAACATCAACTCAAACAACAATTCATATAGCTTCACATTTTACTTTTCCATATACCTTCAGAAAAACTAGCTTTTATCTGTCTCTTACATAGATCTGGCATTTTTAAGACCATCCTCGAGACCATTCCATAATCCTATACCCTGGATTAAACTATACCCTGGATTAAAGTACATCTTTCTCTCAAGCATGTACAAAAACATTGTTTCACAAACATTTTCATCCCCTTTATATAGTAAGAACCGTCTCTCTTAACAAAGTTTATCTGAATGTTGGAAGGTAATAAGTTTCTCTGAGCCTTGTACATAAACAGTAAAATATTATAGTCAACCAAATCATGGAATTTCAAAATTTTCATTTTGTAAAATAATGTCTTTGATGGATGGTTGTAATCTTTTTTTAATGATAATTCTTATGGCTCTTTTCTGCAAAACAAAAATTGAATTTGTAATTGTTTTGCAAGCTTTACCCCAGACTTCAATACAGTAAATTAAATGTGGAACAATTACTGAATTGTACAACACAAGCAGAGACCTGTCATTTGATAACTCCCTGACTTTATACAGTACTCCTATAGATTTAGATATTTTTGTTCTTAAATAATRTATGTGAGGTCTCCATGTCAGCTTGTCATCAATGATGACACCCAGAAATTTCACCTCACTGACTTTACAGATCTCAATACCATCTACTTCAAATGAGAAATCAACAGTTGTCTTCCTATTACTAAATATCATGTAATTTGTTTTATCCAAATTTAATGACAATTTGTTTTGTTGAAACCAACTTTGTATTTTCTCAAATTCTTTCTGTACCATCTCAAGCATTTTTTCTATATCTTTACCTAAACAAACAAATGTTGTATTGTCAGCAAATAAAACACATTTGAAAAGTCCTGACACATTTACTAAGTCATTCACATATAAAATAAATAACTTGGGTCCCAGTACAGAGCCCTGAGGGACTCCACATGTGATTTACCAAGTTTAGATCTTACACCATTTATCTGTACAAACTGTTTCCTAGCTTTCATTGTAGTGCCGACCCTCTAACACCATATTTACTCAAATTTTCAAAAAGAATACTGTGATCAGTTGTGTCAAAAGCTTTCTTTAAATCTACATAAATTTGCACAAGTTATAAGAAAATTTGAAAATGTTGCCACAGTATATATCATTCAGTATATTTGATTTGATCCAGAGAGGCTGTTAGCCCATGGACCATGTAGGTCTATAATGAAGAAGACATGCCTTGTTTTAAATAAAATAAATGTGTTTTTAAAGTCATTGTGTAATGTTTAACTTTTAACTCAGGAAATACTCTATCAGCAAGTACTCAAAACTGAAGTACTTGTACTTGTTTTGAAAAATACTGGTATCGGGACACACTTAACAATATTGACCCTGAATACAAATGCCACACTTTTTAGATTTTTATTTGTTAGAAAGAAAGAAAAAAAAACACAAACTGTTGATCATTTGCTTCCATTACTCTATGTTTAACTCATCAAATCCCAGCAACACTTTGTACTTAAAATAAAAAATTTAAAAAGTAGATTAAGCAGGTATAAAAGGCTTTTATGGCGCTGTAACTATTTTTTAATTATTATTTTGGCCTCAGAAACACAAACCTGAACAAAGAGGTGACCCAGAGGAAGCTGGAGGACCGCCCAGAACCGGACTGTGACTGGGGAGACGTTGGGATAAGAGGACCTTTTGAATATTTTGGGCTCCCTCGGCACAGCGATGAACCTGTAGAAAGACTGGAAGGAGAGGAAGAGGAGGAGCCAACGTCAAAGGAGAATTCATTAGAGAGGAGCGAGAGTTGTGGCGCCGACGACGTCGCGACGGACGCACTTCTTCCCAAACACATCCAGACGCAGGAGGGTGAGCGGACACAGATTAAAYTGTGCATCACACAGAGGATCCAGGAAACTGAGAAAAGTTGTTTTTTATTTTCTTGTTTCCGGCCGAGTCTTTGATCCTGTTTTCAGTCTCTGTTACTAATCTCTGTGTTTTACTCCTCTTCTCAGGATGACGTGGATTTCTTTGGCTTGTGTTCCACGCTGGACCCAACAGCTCAGATTACTCACTTTTCTCTCTCCCTACACACACACACACACACACACACACACACACACACACACACACACACACACACACACACAC